AATTTAGCAAAAACTCTTAACCAATGATTTGAAATTCTAAAAATACACACTAGATTAATTAAAAGTTAGGTATTAATAAATTGGTTTCAATAATGGGAGCATTCGTTAGTCTACCCACAAAATAATGTTTTATTTTTCTTTTCCTATTATGTATTATTTCAACTTAAATACTGTATTACCTGAAAACATAAAAATAAAAGTTAGTTGTACATAATTAAATAATTAATTGTTATAATATAAAGTATGTACCTAGGTGGGTACTTACTATTAATCACTTTTTATTTATTTTGACGACCCGAATGGCGTAGTGAGTAGTGTACCTGTCTCCTGCTTCAGAGGGTATGGGTTCGATCACCACTCCTAGAAAAATATTGTGTGATGAACATAGTGTTTTTCCTAGTGTCTGGCTGAATATATATTTTTGTTTGTTATTGTGTTTATTATTTATTTACAAAAGAAAAGTATGTTTATTAGTTAGTACCCATAGTACAAGCTTTGCTTAGATTGAGACTAAAATTTGCGTAAAAATGTGTCCTAAAATATTTTTATTCATTTATTTATATTAGTTTATTCTTTTTTAAATAATGAATTTAGGTACCACCGTGTAAAACATTTAATCTAATAACTATGTCAAAACCAAACGACTGTAACAATAGGTTGAGAGCTAAACAAACTTCAACAGATGCACTTATGCCCAGTTTCCGAAAGGCCAATCAAAGCAGCAATCACATAACACTATGTCAAAAATGATCAGCTGTTAATCTCTTGTTAAACTGCCTTGGGTTTCTGGAAGGTTTGTTCAAGAAAAATTAGCTAATCACTGTATAACCAATGATAATGAATGAAATGAATGATTTACTTCAACTAACTCTTTCTATTGTATAGCTGTCTCTTTTTAAACAAACCTTAAATTAATGTCACTATCCAGTCCTGTCACCGTGTGATTGCCAACATAATAATCCGAGCTATAATAAAATTTAATTTATATAAATACATGCAAAATGTCAAGAAAAAACTTTACAGAACGTGAATAAAATGAACTTTTATCCATAAAAAAATAAACAAGTAAGTATTAGAAAAAGAAAGAATCTATATTTTTTATTAACTTTTGAATTACATTTTCAATTTTTTCTAATCGCATGATATGTTCGCATAATAATAAATAATAAATAGGTAATAGAACAAATGAATTTTCTTACAAAGTATTAGAGAATTATGTTTATTTTTAATAAAATCTATGATTTTTGATAAAATACATTTTTAACCAACGATTGATCGTCCAAATTGACAGATTACTTAATAAAACATTTGACAGCTTGTTGACCACCGAAAAACGCTTTCAGAAACTCGATTTTCTGTTGATTGTCCGTTAATCAGTGACTAATTGCAAATCAAAATCAATGATGTTTTCAGACGTTCTAGCAACTCAGATCATGTTAAACAACGTTTGACAAGAGATTTATCGTAAATTAAAATTGATTGCGCTTTCGGAAACTGGGTGTTAGTGTTATGCTTTTTCTCTTCATTACTGCTATTCTTTTTCCTGTCCCTTTGATGTACATATCGTTAACACAGGTTTTAACTGCATACATGTTCTGCTGTCAAGGATTGGTTCTTCCCTTAAAACTGTGGTACATTTAGCCTTGCCAGGATTGATTTTTTCGGCGAGTTCTTTCTTAAATCGTTTACTTACGATATCGAGCTCTTCATCAATCCAGCGATTATGAACTTTCTTCCTGAAATTGGTGAATTATCGTTCAACTCTTCTAGATCTATTTTAATTTCATTATCTTGACCCTCAAAGCTGCTTGCTTCTGAATCAGTATTTAAGACTTACAATTCCTTTTTTGTTGTCTCTTAGATTTGTCTCTTATTTTTTCATTTTCAATTCACTATGATCCAAAGTAGTACTTCAACATTAAATCTTAATGCTTTTCTGCTGATGGAAGACCATATTTTTTTCTATTATAATGCTAGAATCGTTTTCTTTTTTAAACCACCCTGGATATTACTATTTTCTTCGTTTTTTTAATATGATTCTTCTATTTCAATTAATCGACTTCCAACTATGCCTTTTTGTAAAGCGTCTTGTTGGTATATGTGTACATTCTAATTGGCAACACTCTTTTTTCTTACATAACAATAAGGCGGATTCTAAGTGTTACTTTTCTGTTGTAACTATTCTTTCTTATCTAAATAAACTAAAAGCTAAAATAATATGGTGTACTTAATTTAATTATTTAACATGGTAGCAGAGGTCCTTGGTTTAAAAAGTTGAGAAGGTAAAAAAAACAGTTTACATGACGGAATTATAAAACGAACAAGAAAAAAAAAATGGCGACTAAGAATAGTGATATAAATATTCCAATTTTCGATCTGTACCAGATTATAGTAATTGAAAAATACGAATACTCAAGTTTCTGCTGTTCAAAAAGTGCAAGGATGTTGTAATGAGAGCGAAAATTGCAACCGCCAACGATGAGTGGGACGACAGAGATTTAAAGCAAGCAACAAACTATATTTATAGTGCAATAACCAACAAGCAGTTGGAATATATAAGTGAACTTGATTCAGCCTACGATATAATACAGAAATTCGACGAAATGTATTTGAAGAAACCAACTGCGTTGCAAATAGTATGTCGACATAACCTCGAAAGTGTCAAATTAAAAAAAAAAATATTCTGAAGTGTCTCTATTTTTCGATGACTTTGAAAAGGCGGTGAATGAGTTAAGACAAGCAGGTGCAATGTTATCAGAAACAGAAAAATTAAATTATATGTTAAAAGTACTATCAACGAAAAGTATCTTCTATTATTGTTCAAGAAGTCAAATCAGCGAAATATTAGGTTATTATAGCAGCTTTCGTTTATTCTCAGATATGTAAAAAAAGATGGCCTTGAACGCCTGTTGTACGTTTTCTGATGTTTATTGAAAACTCCGGACATAAAGCTGAAGATTTACTAGTTACTGTATTATCTGCTCTTGAGTTTTTTGATCTTAATATTGCAGACTGTCGAAGTCAGTCCTACGCGAACAATGTATCAGGAACTTATCCAGGTTTACAGGCGAGAATTCATGAAATGAATGATCTTGCAGAACACGCTCCTTGTGCTGCTCTTTTTATGAATTTAGTTGGAGTTTACGCAGTAGAATGTACGCCAGAAGCTGCTTCCTTCTTTCATACAGTACAAGCTTTATACAACTTATTTACTGTATCAACGCATCGTTGGGAAGTTTTACAATCTCATACTGAAAAAAAGATTAAATTAAAATCGTTATCTGCAACTAGATGGTCAGCCCGATATGAAGCAGTTCATGTACTCAATCAACATTTCAACGAAATAATTGAGACTTTGATTATTCTTGAAGAAGATACCGAACAAGATGCGATAACAAGACAAGAAGCAAAAGGGATTCGAATTCAATTAGAGCAACTTGAGTCATGATTTATGCAGATACTTTGGTTTTTTTTACTCTCAAGATTTAATGCTGTTAGCCAAAAATTGCAAAAAGTTGATTGTAACATTGCTGAAGTGATCGATGATTATCATGGTTTGATCAAAGTTGTTGCTGATACGCGAAATCAATTTGAAATCTATGAAAAAACGGCTTTAAAAATGTCAGAAATTCAAAAATATAAAACAACAGTTTCTATAAAAGAAAAAGAAAATGACATGCTGATGAATCAAGGGATGGAATAGTTAAGGTAAAAGCAATAGTATCGGTAGTCTATCGATAGTATTGTCACGTGTCAATACTGTCGATACTACCGATAGTATCGATGGCTCTCCAAGTGCCAATACTATTGATAACAGTAATAATATATAAACTTAGACGATATTATCGGTAGTGCAATCGATATCCTGAATAGTTTTCGAGGTCAACTATCGATAGTCAAACTATCGATGGTTGTGCAACACTAGTCGGGACCATTTTAGAGTTAATACTTTTAATGTCATTCTTGACAGACAGAAATGTTTATTCTTCAGAAGTCGAATCCTCATTGAATAACGAATTCTTGCACTTCCATGCTTATAGCACTGAAAAAAATCATGGAACAGAATTCGCCTTCTGATCTTTTAAAATTGTTGCATGCATACGACTTGTACACTGAGGTTCCAAACGTGGAAATCGCCTATCGAATATTTATGATATTAGCTGTAACAAATTGTAGCGTAGAACGATCGTTTTCATGTTTGAAGAGAGTTAAAAACTTCTTATGTTCTACAATGACTGCTAATAGACTCAATAGCTTAGTTATTCTATGCATCGAATCCGACGTACTTCAACGTTTAGATTGCGAAGGTTTAATCGATCAATCGCTATTCAAAAAGTCTGACGTGTTTGTCTGTAAAAAAATTTGTGTACTAAAATTATGAGTCACCTTTAGTGCCAAATTTATAATTGTCAGAAAAAAAAAAGCAAATATTTATTTTTACATTCCAATGCATAACTTATAATGAAAAAAAAATGTGTGCGTGTACTAGCGTACACTCGTAAGAAGTGAAACTTTTTTATGACGTTATTTTTCAAAAAATAATTTACTATATGCAACTTTACAGAAATTGGTTAAATAAAGTTAAATTAGATAAACTTTAATAAAAGGCTTTTATTAGCATAGACATAAATACAAATTCTACAATTATTTCATTTTAGCTTTGTATAATATTTAGTTTCTTATTTGTAATACATAGGTGGCGTTAGTAGTAAATTAAAACACACTATGGTTTGACCGTTGTAATTAGTATGAGGGTCCGCAAAAATTGTTGATTAAAAAACTTGCAACGTGAACCTTGTTTCAGATTCGGTCAGCTTCAGATTGTGTCTTCGGTGGAAGGCGCAGTCAGGTCACTACAAATATTATTATTGAATTTCATTAATTGTAATAATTTTACTTTCACAGCAAGCAGCGGTACAAACACCCGCCCGAACGTTGATGATCCGTCAACCTCATCAGGTAGAGCAAGCAGAAGGACGCCATACTTCAGCCAATCAATTATGACTCGTGAGAACTTGCTGCCATCAGGTAAAGAAGTTCATTCAAAATTCTTAAATAGTGGCCCATCGTTTCCGCAATTTGATATTGAATGCATCGAGCCTGAGAATGAAGGACTGAACGAAGACACTGATTATTCGCCACCTTCAATGTCATCATGCAGCTCTTCATCATTGGATGACGAGGGATCTTTTGAAAAAGTCTCGGAAGAATACATCATCACGACTGTAAAATCAAGGAGAGGACGCGAAAAAAAAACTGAGTTGGAAGGATTTTTAGTTGGAACGGAAATCGATACTTTGCCCTACTTGATGAAAGATGATGCAGAAGACAAATCCATTCCTTTGATGAACGTCTCGTCAATTCCACACAATGAGCTCGCTCACAGCAATGCTCCACAAAATAACATGGAAGAGGAAAGGGTTGAAGCAATTGAAGAGGTCTGTGAGGAAATTCTAAATAACCTGGTAGAGCAAGTGGACCAACCGGAGTACAACGAGGTCATGGATTGTGAAGTTTCCGAAAACCGTGGCAGCAGATGGAGACGACGAAATCCACAAAAATGGCAGTGTAATATGGAAAAACGTAAGCGAAGTCAATGTTTACCTTACGAAGGGAAGAAAAAGCTACGACCTGCCAAAACTCCGAAAACAATCAACTGCCAGAAGTGTCGTTTCCATTGCTCCAAATACTTCACAGAAGCTCAGCGGGAAAACATTTGCGCTTTTTATTGGGGCCTAGACGATTTTAAAAGGCAGAAGGATTTTATTTTGGGGCAAGTAACTTTGCAAGCTCCTGCAAGAAGACGACCTCGTGAGGAAGGGGCTCCGCGCAGCAACAGTATGTCATACCGATTTAAAGTTAATGGAGACGATGTAAGAATGTGCCAAAAATTTTTCCTCTCAACTCTGTGCATATCCAAAGATGTCGTGTATAATGCTCTCATGCATAAAGGTGAGTATGGCTCGTACGTTGGTGAAGATAAACGAGGGAAACGAGCTCCTGCGAACAAGACGATCGTCAAGAAACACATCGAGAGCTTTCATGCTGTGGATTCGCATTACTCCAGGAGTTCAAGCCGCAGACGGTACCTGGATGCCACTCTTAGCATTGAAAAGATGTATGAGCTCTACTTAGAGGAATTCAAGAAAGAATATGAAGACAGGCCTCAGGATGAGGAACCAGATCGTGCCGAAGAAGCAAAATCTCCACGTCCTGTTTTCCTGTTTATTTACAAGAGGGTATTTGGTACTGAATACAACCTATCTTTTTACCATCCAAAGAAGGATAGGTGCCAAACCTGCGAGAATTATCATAATGGTAGCCAGGATGAGAAAGCAATGCTACAAGAAAATTACGATAATCACCAATTGAGGAAGGATGATTGTAATGCCGCCAAATCACTCGACAAAATTTTCAGACACATGTGGGGGGCAAAATAGAAACAAGAATGTCGCTGCTTTATTTTTGTACTTAGTACAAACGACGAAACTTGAAGTGATCGAGCATAAGTTCCTTGAAAGTGGCCGTAGCTACATGGAAGTTGATTCCATATGCACTCTGCCATAGAGTCAGCAAAAAAGCAAGTGCCAGTTTATACACTGCAAGACTGGTTGACGATATTCAGAATGGCCAGATCAAAACGGCACACCAAAAGAGCCAGTTGTTATAATACCAAAGTGATGGAGTTTAAGGAGTTTTTTGATCTCTCTGCGTTGGCTAATCAGGTGATCAATAACCGCAACAAAGACGAGAACGGAGATCGAATCAACTGGCTAAAAATCAAGAGCTTTCGATTTAGGAAAGATAGACCGGGGAAAATTGAGTACAAGTACATGCACTCGGAAGAGTACAAGACAATTTCTGTGCACTGCATCGGGCGACCGCGTACCCTACCCACTAGGCTTCCTCAACTGTATAAAAAACGACTGCCCATTAGTGTCCAGAAGAAAAAAGACCTTCTGAAGCTGTGCCGACAAGGAGCAATCCCTGAAGACTTCCCATGGTACAAACAGCTGCCAACATCAAGCACTGCCGAAGATTATGCCGAGAATCATTCAGAAGAAGAGGGAGATCAACAAGATGATTGATAGAGCCCCGACTCAATCAGTTTTAATCCCAAAATTCGTCCCATCTCAACTTAATTTCCTATTCGTGTTTTTTTTTTAATGAAACTTGTACTCAATTCTTGTTCCTATGATTTTTTTGTATTTTTCACTTCGTGTAGATTTTCTCAAAGTTCGTGTCTTTCCAATAAATACATCTCAAATGTAATTGCTAGTGATTGCGATTTTTCACGACTTATTGAATTTTCAAACCCATTTATCTCCAAATGACGAATTTTGGACTTAGCGGGTTTTCCTTCTACGCCCACGATATGTTGCAGGACATATAGTCTCAATGGCGCTAAAAATCAAGGACACCTTTGACGAACCTAGCAGCTAATAGGGCTGTTCAGAGCTCCAAACGAGGTATGGTGGTGGGTTTAAGCGGCGCCACTTTACACTTAGCACAAAGCAAGCTAACATTTACTTCATTATTTTCACTTATTGATCTCATGTAAATACAAGCACCATATGCACACTGTGAATATTATTATTTCTTACTTTGTTTCGGTTTAATGAATCTAACACATTGGCTTGATCAATGAGAAAGTTTTGAAATTCATCAATAGTTGGTTCACCTTTAATTTTGTTCCTTAACTCTTCCTATTTACGCAATGTTTGATTATCTAATTTTGATGACACTGTATGCACTATTTGAGGATCCCAATTTTTATTTGACAAGCTCAAACTGGCAAGGCTCGCAAATTTTTAGTTACATAATCCACTAAAAAGCGTAAAGATTTTTCTGACTCTCGTGTGATAGGCTGAATGTTGTATAATGAATCAATGTGGTGATGAATAAGAACCTTTTTTCATCATAGCGTGTAAGAAGCAAATTCCAAGCTTCAGTACAATTGGCAAAAGAAACTTCTAGATTAAAAAAGACACGTGCGGCGTCGCCCTCCAGATAAGATAGCAAATAATGAAACTTATGTACATCATTTATGCGTTCGTTTTTTGTATCAAGTTAAAAAATGTGTAAGAATGAAGTTCTAACCACCGGAAACACGTGCCGTTAAATTTAGATATTTGAATTTGTAGTCATTTAAAACCCAGCTCAAAGTCAGAATTAACGGGATCGGCTCTAGGCCTACGGCTATTTTCATCATGTGGACCTTGGTTGTAGCCTTTTGCTAAAACTTGTGCTGCAGCCAAATGTTAAAACCGTTCACTTTCAATACTATCTCGTTCATCGGTTTCACTTGACATATCATTTGAATTTAATATCTCGATCTAAGATTGCAGTGAATCAAACTTCGTTGACAGACTTTCAATAGTTGTGAGCTTTAAAGTTAATTCAGTTACCTTAGCCTCTGACAGTTCTGGCAAAAGAGATGTGGTCATTTGTAAATAAAGATTATAAAACAAGCATTTTTTCAAGAAATTTAAATCAAGATTCGCTCGAATTTTTTTTTGTCAAATACGTAGTAATGGTATTGGACTTCGTAGTACGTAGATTATATTAGTATTGGTATTGCACTTGCATTAACAATTCCAACCAGTTCATCAGTGCATGTAAAACTTTATTAATAAATATTTTTGCTACCCTCCATTCTGTGGACGCTAACTGAAGAAAATAATCATATTATATTACAGTCAATGAAATAAGTTTTAAAGGGCAGAACCGCGTGCGCTTATGATAGTAGTGAAAATACACAAATAAATGTATTGATGGAAGTTTCCCAATAACCCATCCCTATGCGGGTCCGCTGCGCAAATACAACGCATTACATAAAAGTTATTTACCTGATGCGGTGTAGTGACGCGGTGCAGATATCTGAGGCACGTTAGCACGTGGCGGCAGTTCACCAAAATAGTGTGAGCAAATTTTATAGTATACCGCAATATCGGCGAGTGTTAGGTGCTATCGATTGCACTTATGTAAGCATTCAATGTCCAGGCAAGTTTGCGAAGGCAAAATTAAATGTTTATTTTAAGTTGTAGTTTTTTATATGAAAAGTTGCCAAGCGAACAGGTGGTTCACCTGATGTTAAATGAATACCACCGTCCATGGACATCTGCTACACTACACCCAAGGGTTTGCAGATGCGTTGACAACCTTTTGAAAATAGGGCTCCGGCTATCTCGCTCACCAGACGATTCGAGAATGTATTAAATTATTAAAATAAAATTCTTTCTACCTGATCTTAATGCAGATAAAGAATGGA